AGGACTCTATTCCTCACATTCATGAGCTAAGTATCAAATCCTTCCCTTGTTCTTCTTCTAACTAAATATTGATCTTCTCATTTCATCTTTAGTAGTTTCATCTCATATGTGTTGATTAATCCGCCAAGTCCTACTTAAATTTGAGTGATAAAAAATTCTAATGACTAGTCCCTTAATTAAATATTGGACTTATGTCAATCCATGTTAGCTAGTCTAAATTGATTCACCTATTTTTAATGTTTAGCACTTGTTAATTTCTTGCTATCAGATGATTTAGTAACTCAAATTTTCTCATTATTCTTAATGTTTTATGAAGTTTATTTTGTTGTCTTTGATGTTATCTTAGCCTAAATCTCTAATTGCATGACTCATTTCATTCAGTCTTGCATCAATTCAACTTTTCAAACTTTGTCACTCTGTCTATCAAATCTTAGAAGGTAGTGATGTCGGTCATGTGCAAGAATGGTTGCATCTTATCATTGATGTTCCCCATTATTAACTGAATGGTATGCTCTTCCAACTGCTGTTCACATTTCATGCTCATATTGCACCAGCAGGTTACATATTTGGTTACTAACTCATCCCTTTTTCATTTCTCCAGGGCGAGGTCAACAATAGTTGTCTTTTTGGTTTCACTGACGAGCCTCTTCACAAACATAATCTCTAATTCTATGAATATTTTCACATAATCATTCAGTAGTTCAGCATGTCATTCGAAAGCAGTTGAAATCAAATTTGGACGAGTAAGGCATCGTTACTCCACTGTATTGCCACAAGTGGCTTTAAACTATGCCAGGTGCTGCCTAGGGTTATTGTTGCCGCTGAAGGTGTGAAATTTTGGAACAGAGTACCCCTTTCGGATATGGCACCTGATCGTATTCTGTAGTATAGGGTCGAACCTTGCCTATTAGCTTCTCCGCCTGATCAGTAGCCATAATAACCTTGATCTTCTTGTAGATTATCCCTCTAGCTGTGTAGCCATCACAGATTCAGAGGCACTTGTTATGTTCTGCTGAGTAGGGGCTAACGAACGATATTATTAACCTCATTGTCACCTTTAGGGGTACCTCATACTCCTAAGACTTGAGGAATTTGGAGGTTCGGAGGATCAACAGGAGTGGGTACATGGCTTGCGGCAGGAATTTTTTGCATCATCTGCATCATTGTCATCAGTTGGGTCATCATCCTAGTCATTTTCTCATTTAACTGAGAAATTTCTCTATCTTTGGGCCTCATTTGTCACCTTATTTGTCTTCGCATATCTGCCAGTGTGATATTTTCGACGTTGAGGGGGTTCCCTTTGACTTCTTCTTCTTCTTCTTCCTTTGAAAGGTTGTCACTTCTATCGGCGACGAACCTAGCTTTGTTTTACGTCCTTACTAGTAAGAGACTGTTTGATAATGAATCCTAGTAATATTCTTGACTAGACATTGGCTCTGTACGTGCTGAAGTAATTTTTAAATTTGTCCAACTCGACTAATTGTTTTGAATGGTAGATGGATTTTGCTTTAAGTGTTTGATGATTAATTTCAATTTTAATATCATAGGCTTTTTGTGATTTTTGAGTTTTGTATTTTTATGAAAATTTGAGAGGCATTTTAAATGTCCGTGGTCCCCTCCGATTAAGATATTCTGTCAACATGGCCGTCATCAAGGTATTTATATGTTATTTCATTTTTTGGTTGAACCTCGTCAACTTTGTCTAAATGCCGACATAGGATCAGATTCATCGTCGGTTTTACGCTTTTATTAGTATTTTTTTTATTAAAGACATTGAAAGCCTAATATGAATGTATAAAATAAATATCTCAGTCGATGTTGCGATCGTATATTTGTTTGATAGTTCGATCCATGTCGACTCCTATTTATTCGTATAGGATGATCAGATTTGAATTTATGTTTATTGTTTGACCCGCACTGTATGTGCAGACATCACGTGTGTATACTCCACGCTCAACGGGGCCCATGCGGGTGTATGCTTTTGCATGTATTTTGCATGATGCACTTTGTAAATTACATGTATATGTATACTATAAACATGTCATTGTGCATTTCAATGTGTAGGGGCATTTTTGTAATTATCAACTGTGCAAATAACCACTGCTAACAAGCATGTGTAGTCTCATCTCGAAATCTGAACACATGTTGTCCTCTTGTACGAATGTTATGGATCCGGTGGCGTTGCGCTGTGCTATGTGTATTTGTTGCTTTATGCAGGTAAACTGTTGTGTGCTAAAGAGTCTCCTGCAATTGATCGTAGATTTCTGCATTTGTTGTAGTCCTACAACATATTTGCTATCATAGCTTGCATGCAAGACTATTGGATGTATTATGGGGTTTCTACTGTCATCTGTGGGTAAGTTGCTTTACATGCAGATCTTTTAATGCTGCTTATAAGCGTTTGTATTTACTACAACTCTTCTGCATTTGCATGTAGGTTGTACGTGTGTACACGATGGATTTTTTGCAGTGGCTCATAGATGCTTGCACTCGTTGTATATCACCCGTCTTTGCTTGCAGGCGATTAGTGTATTTTCTAGATGTTTGCTTATTGATGGCTATAGGAATAGTCTAGCATTTACTACATGTTGTTCACCATCACCTATAAGTGGGCTACTGTACACGACGAATCTCTTGTATAGTATTCACGTCAACCATGCAAAAAAATATTGTAGTTTTCTTGTGATATTAATTTGCAAGCAACATTGGTCCACTAAAAAGAACACGTATATTACCTATAGGCAATGATAGAAGACTTCTCATGCTTACAACCACTTGCTTGTATATTAAAGTAAAAATACTTGCAAGCAATGGTAGATGATCTATTACATGTGCAACAGTGATGAAAACAGCTCGCCTGACAATCAACATTTGTTTGTGAATAAACATGTTGACCTACCTACAAGTGGTGATAGTGGATACGCTGCAGGTATGATGGGTCCCTCGTGAACACAAACTTGTAACATATTGTTTACAAGCAAAGATCGAGGACCACATCAAATGCAAGATTATAACAAATACATTATATCGTAGTCAACATTAATATACAATCAAGCGCATTAAACCTTGCAAGTAGCAAAGCGGCTCAATATGCAATGAATTGACAGCCAGGATGTGTTTGAAGAGGTCAAAGAGAATGTCGCCCTCATGCAATTAATGTCATGTAACTGTAGGCAAATACATCGATCCTCCACAGGCACAAACAAATGATGTGTATCAAATACGAATATCTATGAGCCATAACAGAAAACTAATTAGTGCACGACAATCTACCTATATAAAACAACAAGCAACCCGTAGTGCAACGCCACGCCACTGGATCCATAATATTCGTATAAGCGAACTTAAGGCGTCCACAAGCTGCTACATCGCGCCACAAATTCACAATATTCGTATATGTGGATAGAAGACGTCCGCAAACTGCTACGTCATGCCACTGGATCTGTAACATCGATGAAAGCAGATATAAGACGTTTATGGGCTTGTACATAGAGCGTTGTGCACAACCAAATATTGATCATTTGCACAGTTGATTAGCGACAAATATTTTAAAATGTTCTCACATATGCATTGCAACATATATACATACAAATATGAAAGTACACATGCAAGCATATTAACATGTATACATCTAAGAATATATGTCTGCATGGGCCCAGACGAGCGTGTTATGGGTACACACGTGACGTCTGAGGATGCTGCTACTATACACCAGATACTACGTATCTCTACATATCTGTTTGACGACTAGCCTTAATAGAAAGTTCTCTCTCATTATCGGGAGGGGTAATTAACTATAGGGGCTTTCGCCTATAGGAAACCTAAATCCAGATCATAAAGTCCTTGCAAAATAAGGGTGAAACCACTTGGTAGTATCTTATTTAAAATCCAATATGCCTCTACTCTCCTGAATGTGGGGAGGCCGGGGCGAGCATTTTCGGAGCCCACAAGCACCCATGGCTTTCAACACAAATTTCATGAGACATGCTGCAATCAGATGTATGTTTAAGACAACAACAAAAAATTTAATTTTAGGTTTTATAAATGCAAAGATAATCTAATTTAAAATTTCGAACTTTCTTATATGAAATTCTCTTGGAAGAAAGCTATGCAAAATGGAGTGCAAGAAAGCCTTCATGAAAATAGTTGATTGAGTCCTCATAAAAAGGATCCACAACTACAGATGGGATAAAAAATCTTTACTGTTATTAGTATTTCATATAAGTTCAAAAATACAAATTGGAAGATTTCATTCAATCTAATTTTCAGTCCCAACCAACAATAACTAGCTAACAAGGAAAAAGAGAATGAAAGAGCAGATAGAAACAACAAAGGATAAAAGAAATTGAGAGTCAAATGTGTGATTCCCTAGGCTCGTTTTCAAGTTTCGCTTGGAACAATGAAGGACTTCCATCCAAAGGAGAATTTGTTAATTTCAATATTCAATCTTTTGTAAATTAGAAAGAATGACGACCTTTTGAAAATAGTATGAAACTAGTAGAAGAACAACAAAAATCCCAATGAATCCCAGAATAAATTTGATTTTCTGGAGTCTGGAACCGACAAGGTGTAGATAATGTCAAAATGGCCTACCTTCATTATGTCAAGTACAGGCATTTGTTAAGTGTATGCTACAAAATAATCTAAGAAATAGAAAATTAGTCTGTCAACCTATATAAAGCTTCTTACTTGTGAAACTCGGTCATTTTGAGCAAAAACAAACTAGACAATGTGCTTAACCCATTACCTAGAATTATTTCATTTCCTCGTAAAATGGAAAAGATTAAATTTTTGCTTTGTCATAGAGAGTAAATACTTCTTTCCAGCACCATTCATTCTCAAACTAGAGTTTATTCATCAATTTTAGAGTTTTCCCTTTTTTGTCCTTTAGAATTGTATCTTTATATGGTTTGGATGGACATCTTTGCTTTTAGTTTATTCATTAATATGGTCGGATTTCCTCCAGTAATTCTGATTGCATTTTTCATTTGAATGGGCAGTGGTAGATTTAGTCTTGATTATGTCAGTGAATCCTGGTTTTGGTGGTCAAAGCTTTATTGAGAGTCAAGTGAAGAAAATATCAGACCTTAGAAGATTATGTGTTGAAAAGGTAATGGAAAATTTTATCAGGTTTATATCATCAGCCAATGGGTAGTGATATAACTTTATCACTTAACAGGGTGTCAATCCATGGATCGAAGTGGATGGCGGAGTTGGCCCCTCTAATGCATATAAGGTGTCTTCTTATTATTTATTATCTAACAATACGCTTTCTGACGTTGGAATACTATTTATGGTAGTTCTACCTCTTTGTGATGAGAAATCATCAGATTGTTTCATTTAATGTAGTTGAAATTGATTTTCAAGTTTATTTTGCCCTCCAAGATGCTGTAGCTTATCAATTGCTGAAGTATTTAGCTATGTTCATTTTTTAAAACTATACAAATTAACAAAAATATGAGTATAATTGGAGGTTGGCAAGTATGTTTTGAAGACTGTGTGAATCTGCTTGAGATATTTTTCTTATCAACGGAAAGTATTAATTTCTAGAACATTTAGGTACTCTAGAGTTCTGTGAAATATGATCTCATTCCGCTGTTTCAAAAAGTAATCTCCTTTTATAAGTTTGAGGCTTGATTTTTTTGTTAATTTGGCGGATTATTTTTTTCACAATCCAACCCGATATGATCTAAAACTGCACAGGTCATACTTTGTCCGATTGTGACAAGATTAACCCTAAGATATGATTGGAGAAGTACTGAAATAAAACTTCCAATTTATATACTACACAGAGTCGCTTCTAAATACAATATAAAGCGAAAGACTGCTGAATCTCAATATGAATTTCTATATATCATCCAGAATATATATAATTTGAAATTTATCTACAACAACGCTTGACAACAGAGAGTATAACAAAAAAAAAAAGTCTAAGTCTGCAAAAATCAAAACTACTTAGCTTGCTCTTTATCCTTCCCCAGGCCTGAAAACAAAAGCAAAAACAGGGATGAGCTAACACGTCTCAATAAGCTATTGTAGCCTAAAACAAAAATCAATAATCAAAACCAAAAAAAATGAAAACTAATTTGAATCATATAATGAAATTGAATATAATTAAATAAATACAAAATTAATTGAATTATAAACAAACACTTCATAATGATTAACATAATAGCTTTTAAGTCCAAATTTTCATATATCTTCGTTATTAGAATCCCACCTCGGTCACCTACTGGAGCCGGCATAACAGAATCCCACCTCAGTCACCCAGTGGTGCTGGCATAACAGAATCCCACCTCAGTCACCCAGTGGTGCTGGCATAACAGAATCCCACCTCGGTCTCCCACTGACGCCAGCATCACATCACATTTTTCAATATATTTCATTAATTAAAGCATAATTGGACTAAATTCAAACATTACTAAAATGTTGTAACGGTAGACAATAAAAATATTACTGAGCAAAAATTCATAATTTTCAAACCAAATTATCAGAGATTGTAAACATTATTCTGAAGCTTTAATTGAACTTTAAGATATTTGGTATTAGAGTTCTAGGTTCAAAAAGTGCACTAGTGCATGGTGTTGATGAAAAATGACTACAAGAAGATCAAATGAACATTTTTTAATCTAGATCGTTCTAGAAGAAGATAAGTTAAAGCTTAGATGTCGACATTACCAGGAGAAACCTGATAGAAATTCAATCTTCACACAACCAAAAAACATCAATAACGAAGAGAAATATAGCAGAAAGAATGAGATTATGGACTAATTTTATTGATATCGGCACAACAAATCATGATTCAAGCTCACTATTTTATATGTCAAAATAAATTTTGATTTGGCAAAAATCACTGTTTTTCAAAATTACCCTGCAAGAAATTTTCAGAATATACTCAAAATGTTCATAATCTCAATCTATAACATATAAAATGTTACGCGGTAAAAATTTTACCAAAACAAATTTATCCTCGCTTTTCGGTAATGAAAATACAAATTTAATCGAAAAAATACCAAATTATTGAAAACTGAAATAGTCAAAACATAACCTACCTCGAGATTAGTAAATTTCTCAACTGGCTGACGAACAAAAATTACTCTATGATCATCAAAACTAAGCTTTTTCTTCTTCTCTCTCGTCTCTTTCTTCTCACTTTTTCCCAAGCCTTCTCTGTTTAACTAATTAATCTTAGGATATGACGCTCTAAATATAATATAAGTGGATTTAGATATTATGATAAAATCATAATATAATAATATTATTATAATAAATTTTCAATTTAAAATTCATAGAAATTCTTTTAGGGATTCAAAAATTATAGAAAAATATTCACAAAATAACTTATTTAATTTTAAAAATTTTGGTGAAATTAGTTTGCAAAACGGACACCTGACGATAACAAGACCTCCACTTGTACCGACAAGTGTCAATTCCTTAAGGAATTTCACCCGTGCTCAAAAACTATAAAAAAAAAGTAGGAAAACTAAAATACAACAATAGATATGTTATAGAGAAAAAGGTTTGTAATTTGGGTTTACAATGACTCCTAAATAAAATTTTGACTGTTGTAGGTGAAAATGCATTTTTCAAAATTTTGAGTTATAACAATTTTTCTAATCTAATTTGTTATAAATATTATGTTATTGGTTTGCTAGTGATCATGATTTTGTTCAAGTTTGACACAACATTGATTCTTGTTTTGGTCAATAAATTAGAATTTCTTTCTCATTTTGCATCAATTTTCTTGCTGATTTCCTCGGATTTATTCAATCATTACATTATTTTTTAGGTTCAAATTCTTATTTTACTATTTTGTCTTTAAAGAGAGAAATTTTTACTTATTTAGTCGCTTGTGATTTATGAATCCTAAATTGTCTTATATGATTTGGATACATCACACACATCAATATGATTATATTAGGAAGCCCTGCTCCTATACAGCCCTGGATCAATTTCTTTGCAAACCTTTTCATCACACTGTTCTGTAGGAAAATAAGATTTACTTTCAATGCACCAGACAATGAATGCTGCATAACTAATTGGCAATTTTAACTTTTTACCTTATGGTGGGGAAATTATTTTCAATAATGTTCTGTTCACATTTTTTTTCCATGAAGCCTCAGGGATATTCGTGTTTAAGTCAACAACTCGAGAGTTCACTTATGACTCTGGGAGAGCGATTAAACTTAGTCTATTATTTATGCCAGGTTATTGAGGCTGGTGCTAATGCTATTGTTGCTGGCTCTGCAGTCTTTGGAGCTAAAGATTATGCAGAAGGCATGTTTTTTTCGGGCCTCTATCTTTTATTAAATATTGATATCTAACAGTTTACAGTAGAACATTTTCTGGGGAACTATATACTTTCAATTTTCTTTTTTGTGGACTTATAACTATTCGACAGATCTGAACAAGTTTCGCGTTTTTAATTTCACAGCAATAAAGGGCATCAAGACCAGTAAAAGACCTGAGACAGTGCCAGTATGAGAAATGAGAACGTAGAAGGCCTGTTTCCATTTGGTCCATGTAAGTTTTTCGTATCAGGTTAGCATGTAACTGATGATCATATTCATGGATTTTAACACATTAAGCAGATCAAACAAGCCTATGGTTTTTTGGTTTTATTCTTGTGTTGTACAGGGTTATCTTTTGTATATTATACATACCAATTGGGGAATAGAGGTGTGGGCTCCGAAAATTCACGCCCCGGCCTCTCCTGCTCTTTCGGGGGAGTTTTAACGAATTAAGTTCCGGGGTAAATTTTGGGAAGGTAGATTGGGATTATAGATAAGACACTACCCAGAGATTTTGCCCTCATTTTGCGAGGATTTATTGATCTAAGTTCTTGTTTCCTATAGGCACAAGCCCATATGGTTAATTACCCCTCTCGATAGAGAGAGAAAACTTTTGATTAAGGGTAGTTGTCGATCAGATACGTAGAAAATACGCGTTATTTGGCATATAGTAGCAGCATGGGTTTGGTTGTTTGAAGGGTTGATATTTAAAATTGGAATTTTTACCATCTTGCACTTAAAGCGGATGGTGGGGGAATGGGTGATGGACCTGATCAAGATCCCATGGTTTCGTCGTTCCGAGCCATCGTGGTCCCTGGTCTACTTAGTCAGAGGAGATAGTCGACCCAACCTGACAAAAGGATCCTTGTCGGCAACCATGGGTTGCGTCGTCCAAGAGTACTTTGTAGACCTGGGGTGGATGTTTTTTTAAGAGGACAAATTTGAATCCACCTTAGCTAACAAAGGGCTTTGTGCCCTATCGATTATATCCTATTGATTCATATCTCAAGGATTTTATGCCATTGTGGAGCTTACGGGATCTAGCCATAACTGTAATTTAGTGTTGCCATTTGACGGCAAACTACCCTGTTCAGAGGGCCCAAGTCATAATCGTTTACCTGCAGTGTAATTTGCAGCAAAATCACCAATTAGAGGACACATGACACGTACTTACTGGCAAGAGACTATTTGAGAATGAATGCTAATGATATTCTCGACCATACGTTATCTCTTTGTGAGCTTAAGTGTATTTTCAATTTGTCCACCTCAACAAACTATTGTGGAGGATGGATAGGTTTTGCTTTAAGTATTGATGGTTGAAATTTTTATTTTAAATATCTTGGATTTTGGAATTTCAATATTTTTGGAATTTTAGATTTTGTGAGAATTTGGGTGGTATTTTGAATATTTGAAATTGACCCCTCTGGTTAAGATTTACATTCAACATGATCATAATCGGGGTTTTATGGGCATTTATATTTTGTTGACTGAACCCTATCAATTTTGTTTGTTGCTAACAGAGGATCGGGTTCAAGTCGTCTGTATGCTTTTATTTTATGAATTTTCCTTCTTGTAGACCTTGAAGTCCTACTATGAACGTATAAGTCAAATATCTCAATCGACATCACAACCATACATTTATTTAATAGTTCGAACCATGTCGACTCCTATCTACTAGAAGGGTCAGACTCGAACTTGGGTTCATCATTTGACCCGCACAGCATCCCCAGACGTTCTTGGTCAAATGGAGCAATCGACCATTAACTGACTGCACCTGGATTGATGCTGCTGATCTAAAAAATCGAAACTCAGATCATAAAGTCCTCACAAAATGAGGGCGAAATCTCTGGGTAGTGTCTTATCTACAAACCCATCTGCCTTCCAAAATTTACCTCGGAACTTATTTCGTTAAAACTCCCTCGCCGAATAAGAAAAGCGAGCGGAGGCCGGGGCCGAATTTTCGGAGCCCACACCTGTGCTGGTTGTTTCCCGTGCCATGGCTCCTTGGTTTTTCGGTTGGCTGCTGGATTCCCGAGCTGGGTGGCCTTTCCGTGTCTTTTGGCGCCTCGGTTCTGTGCGGGCCTCTTTGGTTCCCATGACTGCTTCTTTGGTTCCCTGGCTGGGCTGTTTTCCGTGAAATTCTTGGGGGAATTCCGTGACTTATGATGCTTGGGTTCTTGTGAAAATTCATTAAAGTGGCTGTTTGTATTCCCCTTTCTTACCTATAAATATAAGATGTTTTGAGGAGTAGTTGAATATTGAGAGCATTTTTGCTATTGACCTGCGGGTTATTGGAAAAGCTTGCGAGCTTGTTCCATTCTTCTTCCCTTCTCTCGAGGAAAGACTTGCGAGTGCTTTCCACTCTTCATCTTGGCTTCTAATCTCTTTCGTCTCTCCGCAAGTTCCACTCCATCTGTATCCATCTTCTTGAGCTTTGGTGGTGTTTGTTGGTTGATTTGGGAGCATTTGCTGGAGGAGTTTGGATTGGTCAGTTGGACTATCGTGCAGTGGTGGACCATCGGTTTGCTAGCCCTAAAGCACTTATTTTACTTAACCTACATTTCGATGCATGTGAGGAACGCGCTCTGACGGTTGTTTGAGGATAGCGTTGTTTTTATTTTCTCTGTTTCTTTGAATTCTCTTCTAGTTTTCTTCGTCGAATTTTGGATGTTATAGATGATTGCTACTATTTGAATCAAATTTGGTTTTAGTTCTACTCTTTGTTCTCTTGTTATTGGCTTTTCTAACTAGTGTGCTTACATCATTCGTATATTTGCTACCTTTATTCATAGACAGCTTGTTATTCATAGACAGCTTGTTATTCATACAGCAAATTTACTGCAACAATTCGTAGAAATTTTGAACCTGTTGCTCATCTTCTATTCTTTTTTTTTTTTTTTTTTTTTTTTTTTTTTTTTTTGCTCATCTTCTATTCTTGTCTGTGGATATCCAATACACTGTGGATCTTTGCCTTTGCTTGCGAATGACCCCTCGCACAAACTCCTGTACGCTTAAGTGATTCATTACATCCGGCAGCATATCTCCTATCGCCACTCCCATACAAGTCAATATGCTCATCTAAGATCTGCCATTGATTACGATGGTCACGACTTGGAAGTATGTTATTGTGTTTATGACAAGCTTTTTGTATGTACTCCATGCTTCTTTGAATGCATTGATTGGCGGATTGTTGTACTTACATGCATCTCTTCTAATACTTATGAGAACTACTATATATCTTTGTGTGACATTTGGCATTGGTCGTGAGGAGGTTGTGGCCTCCACAATTTGACCGTCTTCATTCTTGTTTATTAATGCTTGTGTGCATTATAGGCTTTTTATCCTTGCTTGTAAGTGGTATACCTCATTCAATACAACTTCCTTTCAAATGTGTAGACAGGATACTTGTTTTTCACGAACTAGGCAATATAGGTGGTATGCATGATACTCCCTCTATGCCTTCTTTGCATTTTCTTGCAGGTACATTGCGTTTCTCATGAATTTCATCTTGATGATCAAGTTCATCATTCGTATATATATTCTTCTTGTCTTTCAACCATGCTTTTCATCAAATGAGAGTTGCAACTTCTTGCTCTTTATCTTAGGTTTTACTCCTGTTGTTCACTTTGTATGTTCAGTATATTTCAATTCGAGTTCAATTCAAGTCCCATATAATCACTCATTTGAGCTCAAACCGGGTCATCTGTGTCGTTCATTTAAATTCAATTATGGCCTTCTGTTAATGTATTTGAGTTCAATTTAAATCCAAATCAAAGTCTTTTGCATTCGTTCAAGTTCAAGTTTATATGAGTTCCATGCGGTTCAGATCGAGTTCAAATTTGCTGCCATTTACTTTAAATCCAAATTCATTCAAATCTTGCTTAATTCGCATCCTTTGCACTTGCTCAAATTCAAGTTCGAATTATTTGAGTTAAATTCAAGTTTTTATTAATCATTTTAAATTATGTTCAAGTCCCTTGTTGTTCACAAATCTGTAAGTTTGGTCCCCTATTTTGTTCAAGTCCTTATCATTTTCAGACAAAATTTCGGCAACCTCCTGGCGTCATCTATTAGCCCTTTGTAGATACATTATGGGCTTATGCATCCTTATATTTAAAAGGGACAAACCACGAGTATTATAACTTCAGAATTGCAACAATGCTGATGCATGCTAGGGGTGTCAATATTTGACACAATCTGAAAACCCGACCCGATCCCGACGCGAAAATTTCATGTTCTGGTCAACTTGAATCCAGACTGGATCGGGTTCGGGTTAGATATTTCGACCCGTTTGTAAAATTTGGTCAGGCTCGGGCAGTGGCGGAACCACCACTTGGTTAGGGGGGGCAATTGGCCGGGCGGGGGGGGAACCACCCCTTGGTTTGGGGGGCAATTGCCCCCCCTCAAAAAAAAAAATTTTTTTTTGTAAGAGTAAAAAAAAAAAAAATTTAGAGAGTAAAAAAAATTTTTTGCCCCCCCCTAAAAAACTCTTTTGTCCTAACTTTCCCTAAAATATTTATATATTTCTTCACATTTAATTATAATATTCTCTTTCATGTTTTTCATGACGTTTTAATTACACATTTTTTTCATTATTTTTCTTGCTTAATTTTTTTTAAAGAACTTTTCGTAATATATAGATATATAATATTATTTTTTAATATTTAATTATTTTTGTGTTGTATTTGCCCCCCCTCAAAATTGAAGCTGGTTCCGCCCCTGGGCTCGGGTTAACCGGGAAACAACCCGGGTTGACACGATCTGAAAACCCGACCCGATCCCGACGCGAAAATTTCATGTTCAAGTCAACTCAAATCCAGACCGGGTCGGGTTCGGGTTAGATATTTCGACCCGTTTGTAAAATTGGGTCAAGTCGGCTTGACCGGGAAACAACCCGGGTTGACCCGGGAACCGTCTTAGTCGCGTCCGTCACTTCATTTGTCGCCTTCATCACTTTGTCTGTCATGTCTGCCATTTGTCTGAGAGTCGTTGCCGACCTGCCGCTGCCGCTGTCGCAACCAACCTACATTTGGCTTCGGCCCGAGACGGCAACAAGAGGATCGGAAGTAACAACGATGACTTGAGGAGCTCGCTGCCTGGCCGCTGACGCTGCCTGAATAAGCACGCGAACGGAGCCTCCGCCGTAGATTTAGGGGTTGGGTTCGGGTTTGAAAAACCGACCCATTTGCAAAAACGGGTCAGGTCGAATAGTGTCCGATCAATTCCGGATTCGACCCGAACTTGACCCGTTACCCAATTTTGACAGCCCTAATGCATGTCAATTGAATGTTTCTTTTACTATAGGGAAAAAAAACTAAATAAAAATTCTCCTTTACTCGCGTTTATCTGCTTTTGTTCTTTGGAAAGCTTTTATTCTTCATGTTGTACCCAACTTGCTGTACCTCCTGATCTGTTTGTGCAGTTTGAATCTTTGGCATGTTTGTTTTCTGTCCCTTCCTTCTAATTTAATATGGCTGATTACATTTACGTTTATCTTTATAGCCTTCAAAGGGAATCTCCTCAAAAAGGAAAATTGAAAGAAATTTTATTAAGTAATTAACTAGATTTTAGATGGCTAACAAATTTTGTCATCTATTTACAGTAATAAAATACAGCAGCTTTGGAAGAGCGGCACTTTAGGAATTCAAGAATTCATATATATTTTGGTTCTCAGTTATGTTACAGCTTTCAAATTCGATGGTTTCTCTGGATCTTCTGAAAGGTAGTTTTTATAGACATTTTTGACACAAGACATTCCCTCTGGAAGAAAGATTATTTTGGTGGTGGCGGGAAGAAATATTCCCTGCATCAATCACTCATAGAATCCATGTTTGGCTTACGTTTTTGTGTGCTGGTACCCATGCATGGTCCATGTGTGTTTTGCCCACCGGCTCTGTGGAAGTGCCCAACAGAAAATCATTCCATATTTCCATATATGATACATGGCTAATACCTTCTAAGAACTGGTTTTTCTTGCTAGGTTCTGCAGCCGGCTGCTTGAATGAATTCGAAGACAGGGCAGAGATAATATACAATTCCTTGCGTGTATTTGTTAGTGTATGAGATTTATTAATAAATTTGTGATATTCAAGATAAAATGTTTAGTTATCTAGAAACTTGTTCTGTCTTAATTTGGTTTCAGAAGCTCTTCCTTTATCTAGGCTATTGCCATTCTCTTTCGTGTCACCGCTGTCTTTCAAGTTTTAATAACGTACACGTGTTGATTTCTACCGTCTTTAGCTATGCATATTGATGTATGGGTCATTTGGGATGAAATCATGGTTTGCATGAATCCTTAAAAACAAGAAGTTGATAGGCTATTTTTGGGGATTCTGTCCCATGTAAGCCCTTTAATGTTTAGTTAGTGACTGAGCTCAAATTAAAAATTGAGCTTGAAGACATAATTAAGTAGATTTTACTCTTTGAACTAGAAGAAGGGAGAGATTATTTATTTCTCCCCAATATGAGGTATTTATAGGTGCTTAGTTGAGAGGCTTTTCAAGATTTTGTAAGGCCTTACAGTGTATGGATGAGTCGAGTTGCTATGAAGACCTAAGTTAGATCAAAATATCTTTGAACGCTGATCTTAATAGAGCAATTTGAGCGTGCTCAGAATTCCCAACTCTCTCAGGTTGAAGGAAAAGTGATCAGAGAAAATAAGAAAATAAAATTAAAAATAGAGAAAGAAGGCATGAAAAATTATCTTGGCTATCATGTACGGCCATTAAAGCTTTATTTATAGTAGATCAAGTCAGTACTATGTGATTACAATCAATTATTCAGTTACAACAAACTAACAAATACATCCGACTGCATTATTGCATTTAATCAACTAGTCTAAAATTCTTCTAGATGCAATTTTGTTGAACTCCTTGTTTGCCAGCAACTATTTGGTAGTTCTACATTGCAATCTATTGAGTTTTATAAGATGATGTTTTGCCGAGGATGTTTCCCTACATGGATGAAGTTTTAACTTCCACTAAATCATTGATAGCAAATTGTAGCTCTCGTTGCTTTTATTCTATTTATTTTCATTCTATTTTGTTTATGACGTGAATTCTTATTAGTTGATGCAACCCTTTATCTATTTTTTTTGTAATAAGACAACTATTGCCTCCATTTCTACTGTATGGGGTATATGTGGAATGGTGGCCAACGATAACCTGCCATAGACCATTTAAAAAGGAGTGATTCCCATAGATATATATGTGGAAGTATTGCAAAGCCTTTACAAACACAACTAGGTTGGCTTTGAATATCCTTAGTTTGATCATTGTATTACCAAAAACACTTTATCATGATTACCATCTTTGTTTAATCATAAAGCGTGTCAAAAACACTTGGGACCCATCTACTTGTATGCTTGCGTGAACATTTACTTGACATCAGTTGGTATCATTTTCGTTTCTTACCACTTGATCACTTAAACAACTAAAGGAGTTCTTTTGATGGGCAAGTTTGCCTGAGAGTACCATTATGACTTTGAGCCTAGTTTTAGGACTCAATCTTATGTACAATTAGCATGCTTTATTTGTTGCTTATTATGACATGATTTGGTACTTTATATATGCTTGCACAAATAATTAAAAGCTAAAATTTTTATATCGAATATTATTTTTTTTTACTTCTTGTGAGCCTCTATATATCTTTCTTAATTATCAGAATTTTATATATATACCAATTTTTATAACAATTTTTTTTTATTTTTAATTTTTTCTTGTAAATTTTAATTCCACTACCAACTATTTTACTATTATGAGCTTTTTTTTTATACTTCAAAAATATTTTTTTTTTAATATTCTTAATATCACTATCTAATTTTTTTTCACATAACATTATTTTCCTCATGCACAGATAAAATCTTAAGATCTAGAATCTTACTCTTAAAAAATGCTATGTTAATATTTATTAAATACCCTCATCTAATTCTAGAACAATGTTATATTTTTTTTTCTCCTCCTTTCATTTAAAAGTCAAAAACTAATAAGTAGTATTGGGTTTATGAACTCTCACTCTAAATAGCTTTCTAATCTTTGCAATCTAAACGATCTATTTTTTGGTAAGAAAATAATCAATCTAAGTTTTATTATATTCATTCTTAAAAGAAAAAGGTATTCATCTATTTTCTTAAATAAGGTGTTAACAATTACAAAATCATGTGTCATAGAAAAATCTAAAAATACGATCTTACCACTATAATTAATCGCTTTAAACTCATAGACATCATAAATATTTTTAAAATCATTTACCTCTCTTCCAATAAAAACTCTTTTTCAAGAGGTATGTTTTGTATTAATTCTTCTAAGACATTCTAAATTTTTAATATTAAACATATATACAAACCTATTTGATGAGCATAAGCACTTATAATATTAATAATGTAGCATCAATAATAATCTTTAAATTCATTTATAGTATGAATTCTATAAAAATATCATAGTTTAAATAATAAATTATCCATCTCCCTAATCTTCTCTTCAACCCATTTAGAATATTTATCTTCTTATGAATCATAATATTTATTAATTATATTAATTTACAAGTAAGAGAATTTATATTTCAAATTCATATTCTAATTTTAGTTTCATAAAATAACTTCTTTGCCCACATCCCTCCATGATATAAAAACCCTTGTTAAAAGAGAATGCAAAGTTTAAAAAAAAAATGCTTTTAAATTTTTTTTATTTAAGTAAATGAAAAAATACATAATATTTTCTTGAAGCAGCTATAATTTATCATCAAATTTATTCTCAACATATTTAAAATTTACTTGACTTGACTAAATTCAAATAAATTCATTTTATTTCAAATAACACGCAAAAATAAATTTAAATTTATTTTACAATCAACCAGACAAATTAAAAGCATTTTAAAAAATCACATTTGTTTTAAATTCTGCTCATTCTAGTCAACATCAACCAATCGGCACCCAAGTAAGACGATAACGGCATAACGCAACGTGGTTATCTTTCTAATTTGAAAGAATACCAAGTCAAATTTACTAATACTAATAATACTGAGGACGAGACATTGAAATCAGCGGTTAGCAAATCCTTTGTCAACAACTCTCATCAAGAAGAATTTTTAAAAAAATCAATTAGATGGAGAAAGACATATCAAAGGCTTCTAAGCTAAATTTGACCAGCTTAGCCTACTCATTCCAAGCAAGCCAAGTAAAATCAAACCAGGCTAACCTAAACCAAACCAAACCAACAAAAGCCTAATCACTCACAATCTCTCCTAGAAATCTTATTTAATTTCTATGCAAATATTTTCTATACACAAACACAACTAAGGCGAGAGGCTTTTCCCACCCTCAAATCTAACGCATTCAAAACACATTAAATGAATTGGGTGCAAGAATTTTCTCAAATTCCTAGATTTATATTTCTAAAATTAAAAAACCCTAAACTCATTTTTAATGTCAATATAGCTATTTCCCAAAAGTTTTGACAATTGAACATTGCTTTATTTGTTGATGAAATTGATAGTAAAAAATTTGCTATATTTATTACCTTTGAAGAGCAAATTTAAATTTTTGTACTTCCTAACTCTGAAACATCTTAACATGCACTTGACAAAAGAACAGAGAAAAAAAACAAAGGAAATTTGCAGCAAAATAATAAACGAAACGATCTAACGAAATTCCACACCAAAGCATGGCAGTTTGATATAGTTGTGTACCACTTGCCAACATCAACAGGTCAATAAAAACGACTGAAAGAGGAGGGCTGGAAAATAATACAAATGTTGAGTTCTGCACCATAACGTGAAAACAAGAAGCACTAATTAACGTGCTTTTTTTTTTTTTGTTGGATGGTCAAATAGAAAAAAAAAAAAAACTTGAAGCATAAAGTTTCAAGCTGTCAACTCCGAAGCATTGTCCTTGAGACATGATCTCAGAATATCTGCAAGCTTTGAGCAAGCATCAAGGCATAGTTCCATAGCCTAACAATCACAAAAATGAAAATAATAATAATAATGTAAGCTTATTAAAAGCAAAGGTTCTTCTTCGCAAGTAGTATGCAAAACTGTAATTAATGTAATAATACCTCATTGATTCTGGCAGTGGGCCATTCTCCAGTGAGTGTAAACTGGGTGACCTCATTACGGGATGGCATGTATGTAATCATCAGGCTTCCGTCTTGGCATGCTTCCTCCTCTGACGTCGGATCAATTACCATATTCTTTCCGAAACAACTCTGGAAAATCATAAAACGAATGAGCTAGAAGATATCCGTAAACAACAAACACACGTAACAATAAAAATCCTTATAATAAAAGAAATACGGGAACATAAAAAAGAGTGAGCCACCAGTGCTCAAAAAGCAAGTAAATAAAAAACAAACAAAATTAAGATTTTATTTGAGATAGCGTTTTTACTGCTGCTTAAAGTAATTTTTTAGCTAAAAAGTTATTTTAAGATGCAGGAAGAAAACCATCCCAAACGAAACCTTAAAGTTCAATTTGATCTTGTAAAAAAATTATGCTGACTTCCAATCACAGTATAGGAACTTAACAGAACAGGCCAAAGAAACTCCTTAATAGAGAATCAAGCACAGAGTAGTAAAGTCGAGCATATGGAAATCCCTTCAAATATGTGTTTCAAGCACAGGCAAAATGGAGCAGGCGAGAATGCTTGCCCAAAGAACAGTGTTCGGTTCTCAACTAATATGTACCCATTTAATCAGTAATTCTAAAGAGTTTGGCCACGATATAGATAGATCAAATCAAAACTGAAAACTTCATAAGATAGTAAAAACTTTGCAACATGCTCATTTGCAGCTTATTAACAAATTGATCATAATTCACATGAATTAACAATGTCATACTAAAAATTTTCCACATTGGGCCTGTTAGTTGCGAATGACTTTATTTGATTAGGGCTATTTAATATTGCCAGATATAGCAAGTGGATCCATGGTTTATGAAAAATCAATGAGTAGAACCTAAAACCTTTTGTTTGTCCATCATTTTTGTCCATTTTGAAGGGTTTTGATGATATAAAGTACGTACACTAACGTCACTTCCACGTGGCCTCCACGGCGACTTTATGCAACAATATAACCTTGAATTTGTTTTAGAAATATTCATATTGATTCTGCATTATTTTCGGCAATTCTGTTATTTATCCCATAATTAACAAGTTACATCATCATTCTCTCCTCTTTATACTAATTTACCAAAGGAAAATCCGGCAATGCGTTAACAGAAACATCTACGTAAAAGGGGTTTTGCCACAACTGTCACAAGCTATCAAGGTCAAGCTACACTAAATCATAATGTACTAGATAAAACCCAGTGCACAAGAACGGGAAGATGCGGCTAGCTAGATGAAGAAGCATATTCATTGCATAGAGTAAAGGGCAAAAATATTTATCAATATAACAAGCATGATTGACAAACAATCATTATCACAACACATGGTGTTGCAAAATATGATACCGTCTGATAACATTAAAAAACTAAGACATAATGGATTAATATACAATATAAGAAAAAATAAGGAGTATAATGTGTTATGAAATATGTTTGTAGGTATCGTGACTCTCTGAAGAACTCTAAAGATATAATTTATAATTTTCTTGTTTTTATAATTTTCTTGTTAAAGTAACAAACCAAGGGGAAATTAAAGAATAGACATGAGTAAATGCACTACTATCTTTGCGTTCAACAATTTATGAGCGAGAGATAATGAACCTAGTGTTGTCAAGAGCATATAATCAGCTGGAAGGACCATGCACTTCACTCCACAAAACACAACAATGGACAACATCCTTGAGGTTCATGTCCCGAGCAAGTTTAGTGCTCGTGGTCCTGATAATAAGTGATTTTGGATTGAAGTTTGCACTATTTTGATGCAACATGCTAATGCAATTGGAGAATGAAAATATTAAGGGCAACCTTATGAATCTCAAGTTAAGTTCATTTGGAGCCAAGAAGCCTTAGTAAGGTCATTATCAGCAATACGTTGTTTAAAACTATGAAGAGCCTCTTGATTAATCTTTAGCTCGAGCTCTCTATAGGAATTCACTTTAGCATATAACAATAGCAGCAATAACAAGTCTTTATCCCAGGGGTCGGCAACAAGAATCTTTTTTCTCCATTGTGTCATGTTAAAAGTCAAATTCTCATTTAAATCTAATAAAAAATAACATTTCTAATACTTTATAGGCAAGTCTAGGTCTACCTCTATCTTTATTAACATAGGACAAATCTAAAACATCTACGCTCCTATGAATTCCGAAAATTCAGGCCCCGGCCACTCCGCGGACCCCTCTCTCTTTCCTTTTCATTGGGTCGTCGAGGAGAATTTTAACAAGTAGGTTATGAGATAAATTTTCAAAAGGCAAATTGGTTTTAAATAAGACATTGCCCAGATATTTCGTCCTCATTTTGTGAGGATTTTATGATCTGAGTTCTAGTTTCCTATAGGTGCAAGCTCCTATAGTTAATTATCCCCTCCCAATAACGAGAGAGAACTTTCGATTAAGGCTAGTCATCAAACAAATACAGAGTATCTAGCGTATAATAGCGACCTAGGTTTAGTTTTTTGAAAATTTAATATTTAAAATTAAAAATTGACCACCTTGCACTTAAAGCAAATGATAGGGGGAATGATGATGAGCCCGATCAAGCTCTCATGGTTCCATTGTCCCTAGCTATCGCGGTCCTGGGTCTACTAAGTCAAAGGAGGTAGTTGACCCTACCTGATAGAAGAATCCTTATCGACAGCAATGGTTTGCACGTCGAAGGGAACCTTATAGACCTGGGATGAACATTTGTCTATGGGAACATATTGAATCTACCATAGCTGATAGAGGGCTTTGTGCCCTATCGATTATATCTTAATGATTCATTGCTCAATGATTTAATGTCATTGGAGAACATATGTGCTTTGACCATGACCGTAATAGGGTTCTGGTCATAACCGTTTACCTACAATGTCATTTAGCGACAAAACCACCGGTGTGGTGTCATTTGGCAACGAAACCACCGGTTATAGGACACGTGTCACATCCTATTAGCAAGAAGAGACGGATTGAGAATAAATCCTAGTGATATTTTTGACTAGACATTAGCAATTTGTGAGTTAAAATTTTTCAGATTTGTCCACCTCAGCAAACTGTTGTGGAAGGTGAATAGGTACTTTTGCTTTAAGCATTTGATGATTAATTTTAATTTTAAATGTCCTGATCTTGGATGATTATTTCAATTTTTTGGATTTTTATGGGAATTTGGGAGACATTACAAATGTTTATGATGCCCTCTAGTTGAGATTTTTTTGTCAACACGGTCATCATCGGGGTTTTCATAGGTTGTTACATCTTTTGTTGATTAAATCTTATTGATTCTGTCAATTTACTAACTGAGAATCGGGTTCGTATCTAAATTCATTTCTTAACCCACGCGCAGTATCCTCAGACGTCACGTGTGTACCTACAATACGCTCAATGGGGCCCATGCGGGTATAAACTATTACATGCATTTTGCATGAAGCATTTATATGGTTGTTATATGTATGTAATGGATGTATACAACGCATCTGCATATGTCCCGTATATTGGCCTATGCACTTTCTATTTTGCATTCGTATATTGCATGTAGATAGAATATTGCATGATATTACTTGAATGAAATCATTTGCATCTAACAAATACATGCAGGAGGGCACTCGACTACGGATGTATGGTATATCTGCATGTAAATGCAACATTGAATGACATGCTTGAATGAAACTCTTTGCATCCTACAAATGTATGCAGAGGGTCACTTTAAAATGTAATTGTAATGTCAAATGACATACTTGAATGAAAACCTCTGCATCCTACAAATACACGCAGGATGTCATTTTGAATTGTGATTGCAATGTTAATGGCATGTTGGAATGAAACCCTCTTCATATCACAGATGCACGCATATTATGGGATGCATATGAATACGCATTTTAATGCATGAGAGGGGTATTTTGCATGAATTATTATATCTGTTGTAATGCATGTACGGTGGCATTTTAAAATATTTAGCACTACCAATTACGTGGATAACTATCGTTTGAAGGTGTGCAACAATACATTTAAAAGCTTGTAGACGTCTTTTGTATGCTTGCACAAGTGTTGCAAATCTGGTGATGCGACGTTGTGCTTCAGTGATTCCCTACTTTTGTGTACAAGTGAATTGTGGCATTGCATTTAGAATAGCCATGAGATATATCATTGTTCTGATGCAAGCTTTATCTTCTCGTTCTTCGAGATATCAAATCAACGAATTATCTAACCTTTTCTTAGACCATACGAGGACATCCAAGTTACATAAGATCATTTTGTGATAGATGAGGTGTCATAATCTAATGATACCAAAGGCTCGGCTGATGTGTTGTTGGCTCTCCTCATCTTCAATTCATCACAAGGTATTCTCCTCAAAGCATGAACAGGATAAAACACCGAATAGTTTTCAATATCCCTACAACATTCCAGCATCTAATATGCATATGGGATGTGGAAGCTTCTCTTATAGTCCTCGACATGGCAATCAAGAGCATCTTTCTCCAATCTATAACTGCAACATTTTGCAGTGCATGTGTAGGATATTAGGTTGTGAAGCTTGATCTTTAGGTATCTATCCTTTATTCAAATAATACGGCATTTCCCAAAAAAAAAATCTCAGTATTTCTGAAGAGATGATAGAATAAGACATTTTTTTCTTCAACTGTTCATTCTTTGACTCTACAGAATCATTCAAATTTGTATGCTTAGTGTCGTAGTTAGGACCTTCCTTTAGTAATACATCGTCGAGCTTTCTTCTTACGCCAAGTTTCCTTTATCCCAACTGTCACTATCAGGGTCTCTAGAGTTGTCAATTGGAGGACTTAGTTGTACTTAATCGACAAAACCTCCATGTCCAATGTACAATGAGTGTGTTTCTTCTCAATGTGGTTGTTAGCTGCAAAAGTTTTCCACAACAGTTCATATGTGCTTGCATATGCTGTAGTACTCCTGTATTCGCTACGATCTTCAGTCCATGCTCGCAAATATCACATTGCATGTGTATCAATGCTCACAGGGGACTCAACATCCATGCAGGATATCTCTTATAATCGCTGCTTGTGGACATTTGCAAGGAATATTATCATTTACGAGCAAGCATTGTGCGTCAGCATGCCAATATAAGCTACCAGTTGAGTTGCATTCATCATTTGTTT